AAAACAGTACCAACCAAATTAGATTATGTATAGAGATACTACATTTCATTAGGTTATGTTAACACTGTTACAGTAGTTGGGGTGGCAGGGGGACTAAGGTACAGGAGAAGGTTGAGAGCTAATTCACTGTGGGTGGTCAGATGGGCATTTTCATAGTTTTTATTATGAAGATGTGAAATTCAAAGTCATAGTGGCAAGCTCTTGGAACAGTATTTATGAAAATAGCTGTAACAGCTATACTAATTATTGTATTTGTATTATGACATGTTCGTATCCTTGGCTTGTACTGTGAAAAATCTATGACATGTTAGTGAATTATATTCTGTTATATTACATTGCCATCACTGAATACAGAATTATAGGATTGGACTAGGAAAAACTAAAGTCTGATATGTGAAGTATCACAGTAGATCAGTGCATGCAGTCAGAGCAGTTAACTGTAGTTGACCATGGTGATGCAAAAATGCTAAAAGTGAGATTGATTTTCACTGTCTCTGTTAACAGGTGCCAGCCATGCCTGAACATATGATAAATGGAATTATTGTTAACTTCCCATTTGAACCTTATAGTGTTCAATCAGTATACATGGAAAAAGTCATTGAATGTCTGAAGAAGGTATATCATCATTACACAGGAATCATTTTGTCACACAGCATTTGGTCCTATATTAAACATATTCTTACTTTTTTCTTTTTTAATTTTAGTATCTAGTTTACCTCAAGGAAACAGTTGAAAGTCACATACAAAATGTGATTCAGGTAGGAGAAAGTTGTGACAGTAGTTTAATTAAATTTGGAATAACTCTGTGGAGCAGAGTGGTTCTTGAGAAGCTGATATTTGCTCAACTGGTGAAGAAATGTCCTGCATTTTTTATAAGCTAGAGGTTTATTGTTGTAGCCGCAGATGAGATGTGGTTATTATACAAGTTTATACATGTTGAAAGGACTTTGTATTCTTTGAGTGCATTTCATGGCTCTGAATTAATAATCCTTGTAAGATTAGATATGAAAGTGTGCCAAATAATGCATTTGGAACTTAACAGTTGTAAAACTAAGATAATTTATTTTACAAATAAAATGAACATTATCAATTTTAATTACTATCTTGGTGGTTAAAATTTTGCTTACTGACTTGGTGTTGTATTTGTTAGTAAATAGCATTTTCCTTGTCATGTTGATTAGGTAATTCTTGGTCATTAAGAGTGTTACGGTTTATATACTGCATTATATGTAATTTCTGTTTGTTAGATCCCTTGTTTTATACAATGGTTTAATAAGGTGAGTGTGAGTATGCCATTGTCACATGGAGTAAAATTTCATTGACCGACTACATTTAAGTAGACTGTATACAAAGACAATTTGGTAACTTTTTTCAGTCTTATATTTTATGTAGTTATGATTTGTTTACATTTTAAACAACTTATTCTTTGATGACAACTTAGTGCTTTATTTCTTATTAATGTTTTCAAGGACAAAGAAAATTGTCATTTTAAAATGGACATTTGCTATTTGTGTGTCTACAAGGCAGGTATGCATGCCATTTGTTGCAAATGCTGTACGCAGATTTTTGGGCATTTTAGACAGATTTTCTTTTGTGCACAATTTCTTTCTGTGGGAACATATTTAGATTGATTAATTGTTTTAGTTTGTTCTTATTTAATGTGTGTATTTGTCATAAGCTCTTTGCTGTTGGCAGATATTTCAGTAAAAGAATTTTATGACCTACTAATATGATAACATGTTTATATAACAAGTACTGTACAAATTTTGTGGGTCAGTTTTAAATAATTTATCAATTATTTCTAACTACATAGAGCAGAGTCTTTCCTAAGATTAAGTTGCTTAGCTGGTCAGCCTCCCAGCCTTATATTTAACCTGAAGATTCATTATTGTATTTGTAAGAGTGTGCCACTGGTTTATTTTCTGAGCCACATGAATCCAGCCTACACCCACCCACTATATTTACTTAACATCTATTTTAATATCATCCTCCTATGTCTAGGTTTTCTTAGGGATCTCTTCCCTTCAGACTTTGTAACCAGAATTTTGTTCTTTGTGCAGTTGTAATGTTATTTCTCATCTTCATCAAAGATAGTTCAATAAAAGTTGTATTCATATCACATGTGATCCTGTATTTAATGGTTGTTTACAGGTCACAGTTGCCTTGTTGGTATTGCTGTAGGGAATTACAATGTACCAAGATGGAGAGATCTCGTGATAATATTTATACTGAGCATTATGAAAATGCATTAATGTTGTGTTCTTTCCGAGGCTTAGATAATATGTGTTAGCCATACACCTAACCCCCAAGCTGGAGGACCACGAGAAAACTACATAATGACGAACTTAAACATTTGTACTCCTCCCCCAGTATTGTCTGGGTGATTATGTCAAGAAGAATGAGATGGGCGGGGCATGTAGTGCTCATGAATGGGACAAGAGGTGTGCACCGGGTATTGGTTGGGAAGCCTAAGGGGACTGCTGGGGAGACCTAGACGTAGATGGGAGGATAATGTCAGGTGGGATCTATGAGAGATAGGAGTTGAAGGAGATTGGATTTTGTTGGCCCAGGACAGGGTGATGAACCTTCAGGTTCAGTAAGCCATCTAGTTAGTTAGTTAGTTGTGTTCTATCGGGTTCTGGTCTTCTCCTCCTGACAATGCAGACATATATAGGTGGTTACTATTGTTTCAGAGAAACATACTGCCTCCGTCTTGAAGGTACACTACCTCAAATGTAGTGGTTGTATGTTCTCTGGAATGTTGATAACCACGTATAAGACTGGTGTCACATCCCAGAAGACCACAGTATGGTAAAAATATCATCATTCCTTAGTTTTGTTTATTTTAATTTTAAATTATATGATCAGTGCTGTTACACTTAGAATGCTGCAAAGCAAATTGAGAAGATGCTGATTAGAAAGACCAGTTGTTCAATTTCAGAGAGTGAATGGGATGTTGGAGTTGCCAACAGGCACAGGCAAAACTCTGAGCCTGTTATGTGCTTCTCTTAGCTGGCTTACCGTAAAGAAGGCCCAGCAACAGGCAGAGTCCCTAGGACTGTACAATCTTCCAGATGGCGACTTTGTGACTGGGCTGCAGAATAAACTGAGGGAGGCAGCAGGCCCTGTGAACACAGCTAGGACTGGTGCCTCATCATGGGATTCTGGTAACCTCCAATATATTCAATTGGAGATGATCATTTATAAGAACTTATGACATATAGTTTAAAATGCTCTTAATTTGTATGGTGAGGTGGAAAAGTAAAAGTTCGTAGCACAACTTCCTTCGGAGGGAAAGTAAAGCCGGCGATCCCATGTCGTAGATTTACAGCATGTAAAAGAACCTCAAGTCTTACATGTAAAAGAACCTTACGGGCATGAACAAGATGTTTTGTAAGCAAAATTTAGTAGCCATTTCTCACCCAAGTCTCTCCTGATTCACTACTAGATGG